ATTAAATAATATAAATTTTTAATATTAAAAATTCTCTTCTTATTTAACTATTTATATTTTATAATTGAACGGAGTCTGAATGGGTAAAAAAAGAGACTTTATTTATTTATTTTTTTACAACAATTTCACTATTTTGTGCATTGCACTAATGGGCTTGGTTAAAAGTCCGATAAAAAATAACCCTTAGAAACAAACTAGGCCCACAACTTATCTCCAGAATTACAGGATCACCCTTAAAGTTGCCACGTGGCAATCGCAAAACTCACCTTCGAGCATTTTATCAAATGCCACCTCATCACCTCTCCCCCCTTCCCTCCCCAGTCCCCAGCAACTTCGCCGCCGCCTGTCCTCAGTCCCCGCCGCCAAGACCTATATATAAAGCCGCATAGACAAAAAAAAATCATGTCTGTTATTCCCTCGATATCATTACCGTCCCTCCCCCTTCCCCATGCGCACCTTACCTCTCCCCTTCTTCCCATGTCTATCCTGCGCCGCCTCCCCCTCCGCCGCCTAACTCGCCACCACCTTCGCAGCCGACGTTTCGCTACACTTGCCGCAGTCCGCCAAGACACTACCGTCTGGACTCCCACACCCATTTCCTTAATTGAGCCCGCGGCCGAGTCCCTCTTCCACATCAGCATCGACGTGTCAGATTCTCCGGACCTCGTTTCGTCCCACACCCGCGCTGGGCAGTACCTCCAGCTCCGGGTCCCTGACGTAGAGAAGCCATCCTTCCTTGCCATTGCATCTCCGCCTTCTCTGGCCACAGCGCGCGGCGCCTTTGAGTTTTTGGTAAAGAGCGTTTCCGGGTCAACAGCGGAGCTTTTATGCGGATTGAAGAAAGGGGATGTGGTGGAGCTTAGTCAGGTGATGGGGAACGGATTTAATACTGACAAGATTGATCCGCCTGAGGACTACCCGACGGTTTTGATTTTCGCTACTGGATCTGGAATCAGGTTAGGGTTTTTGTTCTCTAATGTTAAAATTGACTCCTTTTGCAGCTGCAATGAATTGGGAGTCTTAGATTTCTGTTGCTTTATCTGACAGAAATGCAACACTCCACATCAGTTATGTGAAAAATTCAATAAAATTTTAGGACTTGCACTCAAATTTATGTAATTAAAGAAGATAAGAGAAAAGCGAGGATTTTTTTCGATTATGTGGAAGTGTTTTCTGTTTCTGTAAAATATAAATTTGATTGTCGCTGCTTGATAAATGATGATTGCCTGTTTGGAAGAGATTTAGATGTTTCAAAGGTTTTACACTGATGGCTTATTTAAATCTATGCAAAAATTGTTTTGTGCTCTCTCAGCAAATTGGGACTGAGAATTGACCACTAAATGCTTTTCCAATTTCTTGTTGAAAACTAAATGCTTTTCTTACTCTTTGCTTGGGTAATCTTTTGTTAGTATTTTTCTATTTTCTATTACATCAAATTTGTTGCATTTAAATGCCTTAGTACTCATGCATTTCTTTTAATTACCATTGTTTCTATTGTTCATTAGTTGGACATTATTTGTTTAGCGTAGGCTTTAGATGTTGCCATTGCTTGTATGAGTTTTTTAGTCTCAGATTTCAGAGGATTTAGAGGGCATAGTTGTTACCAAAAAAAAAAAAAAAAAGGAATGCAACTTAATTTATGTTTTTTATTGTTATCATTTAGGCTTTTTTTTTTTATCTTTCTTCAATTCTTCTGGGCTATATTCAACTTAGTTTATAGTAAATTTTAAGATGAGTTTGGGTATTTCAACTGTTTTTTGCATTCACATGCTTCTGGGTGGTTTTAACAAAGGAGTAAAGCTTAGAGCTAATGCAGTCTTCTTACTTTTCCATGAATTTTATTCTATGAATCTTATTCTATGAATCTTTTTCTGTGTTTGAGAAAACTCTAATGCATAGCCAATGATTGGCATTAAAAAAGAAATAATCAAATTAAGTGAACTTCCTTCTATGTCGGTTGTACTTGTATAAGATATTTTTAAATGGCTATATAATTATGTTACTGTGAATTACTTAATAAGTACATATTTTGTGCAATTTTCTTTTCCCCATATGTGTTTTTCTTAACGCAATTCTTTGTTTTTCTTTACTTTCTCATGCACAGTCCAATCCGATCTCTCATTGAGTCAGGATTTGGTGCTAACAAGAGATCTGATGTGAGGCTTTATTATGGAGCTAGAAATCTTAAGAGAATGGCTTATCAGGTTTGCTTGCTTGCATTTCCTGTGTGTTACAGTTTTGTATTTTCTAGAATAAGCAATTATCATCTGATTGACAGGAGTTGATTTGTCTGCTCTTTTCTGTTTTTATTATAGGATAGGTTTAAAGATTGGGAAGCTTCTGGTGTTAGAGTTGTGCCAGTTTTATCACAGCCAGATAATAGTTGGTCTGGGGAAAGTGGCTACGTGCAGGTAAAGCTGTACAAACATTTGCTTTGAGATTGTTTTGGCCCTTTAGAATCAAATCATCACATGTTATCATGGGTTTTGCAGTCTGCTTTTGTCAAGGCCAACCAAATTTATAGCCCCAAGGGCACTGGTGCTGTGCTTTGTGGCCAAAAACAGATGACTGAGGTGTGTTGCTATTTCTGTTTTAACTTAATTATTTTTCCCTGATTGTTCTGTTTGAAATCTGGCTACCTGTCTGTAAGATTGTTTGTATTGATGTTATTTGATTCTTTGTCCTTTGATTTGCATCTTCATCTCAGTTGCCAATGTTTCATTCTGTTTGCTTAATAATAGTCCAGAATTCATTATCATACTAATAGCACAGAATTATCTCATACTTCTGAGCTCAAAAGTGCCCTAGATTCCTGAGTTTTGTTGGATGCTTTTTATTGATTGAAGCAGACCCAAAATTTCTCTATTTCACAGATACTAAAGCCTTCAGCCCAAATGACCAGCATATGATACATGCGTAATGGTTATATTATCAAATGACTCTGCTAAACTTTAAATTAGATAGCAACATTCTTATTTTGATTTGGCAGCAGTATAGAACTGTTGAATTTAATCAGTTTATTGAGTAAAATATTTCATATGATTAAATGATTGGTAATTGGTGAATGAATAACGGATCTTCCCTTGTTGGACAGGAAGTTACTTCAATACTCGTAGCAGATGGAGTCTCAAGTGAGAAGATCCTTAAGAACTTCTGACCAACAAAACTCAAACAGGGTTCTTATTGTTGTACTAGTATTATTGGGAAGAAAAAGTTGATAATTATTCTTTTTCCACTGCTGAGAATTGGCTAATAAAATCAAATTTTGAGATTTTTGGGCATATTATTTATTTGTATGTTTCTTGCGCAGTGTGGCATTCAATGGCCATATATCATATGGAATTCGTACTTAAATTTTTGGAATTGGATATAATCCTTGGATTAGATCATTTTCAATTACTTGAAAACCAGTGCGGTTCAGTAATGTTGACTTTCAAATAAATAAAATAAATAAAAGATCAAACAGGAAAATGCAGTTTGATAACCCTGAATGCTTCATCAGATATGTAACTAAAAAATATGCAACTTGGAATGATAATTTCAGCAACTTGTAAAACAATTTTGAATTGAACTATTGTAATCATTAGTCTCCATACAGGTGAGGAGAAACTTTCAGTCTCCCACAAATTTCAGGATGGTCACAAGAAACTGTTACCAAAAAAGATTTGAAGTATCCCAACAAATCAACCGAGATAAATTAGAGGAATGTAGGTCAAGCCAACAATCATATAGAGAGAGTCTAAGGATTCTGTCCATCACAGGCACCATTGTTGTTCTCTATCATGTTCTTCTGCGGGTGATCTTCATGATGCTTTCCATTGGGTTCAGCTGAATTCTCAAGCAAATGATTTTCTTCTTCCATCTGATACCGCTCACTGTTATGGAGATGGTGAGCTTTGTGGCAATGATGGTGTGGATGACCACTTCGGTGCCTTAGTGCTCCTCCCCTATCTGCTTCTTCATGATTGTCATCAGATGACTTTCCTGAAGAATGGTCCCTTTGATCATGTCTGTGATGGTCAGAATCTGAGGAACTAGAGCCTATGCCATGTGATCGCCAATGACTCTTATGGTGCTTCCTATGGCTTTTCCTTCTGGAAGCACCACCATCTTCATCACTTGAAGACTCAGAACCACTAGACTCTGACCGGTGGTGATGTTTGTGGCGCCTTGCATGACTCCTCTTCTGCGTTCTACTGTCATTCTCATCGCTTGAAGAATCAGAAGCACTTGATTCTGTGCTCCTATGGTGCTTGTGGCGCTTCACATGACTTCTTTTGACTCCATCCTCCTCATCACTTGAAGAATCAGAAGCAGAAACTAACCTTGAGTCACGATGCTTGCGTCTGTGGTTCTGCTTCTTCCTCCTCTCTTCTTGAGAATTACTCTCGTATTCATCAATGCTATCATCAGATGAATCAGATGATTGTCTCTTTGGCTTTCTCTTGGATTTCTTCTCCCTTTTCTTCTCATTGTCATCTGAATCAGAGTGGTGATGCTTCCTGTGCCTTTTATGGGATCTTTTCCTTCTCTTTCTCCTGCCTTCACTGCTATCAGTCTCACTCCTGCTCTCTGACTCTGACATGGATCTTCTTTTGTGCTTAGCAGTCTTTGATTTCCTCTCTTTAGCCTCAGCATCAGCCTTAGCCTTTGAAGCAGCTTCTAGCTTCTGCTCCCATTTTAAAGGGGCTTCTTTCTTCTCCAAAGCTCTCTTCTTTTTCTCCTCCACCAATTGCATGAACTTCTTGCAGTCCATTTATACAAGAAAACCACCTCAATACCTGCATTATGGTATGACGATGACCAGAAGTACATCTCACAGAAGAGAAAAAACAATGTTAGTTCTTCCTTCATCAAATACAAACTTCTTAGTAACTTAGAGAACAAAGATAACAATTTCATTCCCAAGCTTAAAGGTTCACATATTGAAACCAGAGTAAATAAAATGCCATTGAAATGATAATAATTATGGCATCAGAAGAACAGATAAGTAATACAGCTTTTTGAGAAAGATCATTAATCACTGGCATTAAAATATGTAGAAGGACTTCCTCTGAAAGTCTGAATGGTAAAACACACTTCTTACTGTCGTTAAAAAAGTTAAAAAGGGTTCACTTCTCTCACAGAATACAGAAACAAGCAGATGAAATTTTGATTCAACTTTCCTACCTTATGCAGACAGGATGATAATCCGGAATCCAAGACCCAACCAAAAAGGTCTTCCTCTGGGTCACCAAAGGCAAATCTGGAAGAATAAAGCGAAAAAGGCCTAAATCCAGCAGAACAAACTCACAAGTAAACAGTCAAACTGCAACAAAACTACGATGAGATATCATTGTCATCCTGAATATATTAACTCCATGTTTAATCTTAAAACTATAACAGTGGCAGATCAGGTAACAAACTTTTCTGAATATTCTGATACAATTCTCTTTTCTCAACATGAAACAACCACAAGTAAACAAGAAATTCTACAAAGTTTATGCTTGTAGAATCCCAGCAACCCAACTCAACGAGACCTAACAAGATAAAATTTTTCAGATGACACCTAAAATTATGACTGCCTCAATATCTGAATCAAATGAGTCCACACTATTAACACAATGAAACCTACCAAGAAACAAATTTTTTTCCCTAAACCTCTAACCATCTCAACATCTGAACCAAAACCCCTAAAGAATTCAGTGTAAGTAACAGGTTTATAATAATAATAATAAACAGAAGTAAGAAAACCTAACAAGGTAACAAGGTCCAGACATTGCAGAACATACTCCATGAAAGCATACCTGAAAGAGACGAAAGATTTGAGAAGGAAGCGAAGGGTGCTGAGAAACAAAGAGATGGCAGATCCCAGAGAGAGAGAGATTAGGGCTCGACTTCAGGAGACATTCGAGAAGGGTCTAATGGGTATAAATTGAGGTGCACGTGCTTCCGGTTCAAACACGGCGCCTTGCTTTCAGCAAAAAATAATTGTTTGAGACAGAGACAGCTTAATATAAACATCTCAATCATATTTTAAAAATTAAAGTATTTTAATAAAATTTTATTAATAAAATAATTTAATCTAATAATAATTATATATATATTTTTAAATACAACTTAGTATTCACTTTTTTTTTTAAAGTAAATTATTTTAACGGACTAAATGCATGTTTTGGTACTGTTGATGAAGAGTATTTTAAATTTCAAAGTTTTAGTTGCATCAAAAATTATACTTTGTGATAAATATTATACTTTTTTTAAATTAATTATTTATTTATTTTATTACAAACTTAAAAAATACTAAGTTGATATTTTTATAAAAACTTTTTATTTAAATTTTTTAAAAATTAATATATTACTTTTATTTTTTTATTTATAAAATAGCATTTCTATAACAATTTTCTCTAATAAAAGTCTTTTATTAAAAGTTTTAATCACAGGAAACAGGCATTAAATGTAATGAATACAATAATTAAAACATAAAAAAAAAAAAATTCGAGTCAATGGTTCAGAGCTGTAAAGAATCGACCGGCGAGACGACTAGAATGGTAGAATTTCTTCTTGTTGGGCTTAGAACCCACATCACACTCTTTGTTCTTCGTTGGCAATTTCCTTCCCCTTCCTTTGCCAATAAGAAAAAAGAAAAAGAAAAAGAAAAAAAAAAAAAACGCAGAAAACCGAAATTGGCAGAGTCAAATCCACCTCCTCCGCCTTAATTCATCCATCTCTGGATCCTCAAATCTCATCTCCGTTATAAATTTTCACTCCCGCCATGGCCGCGTCTCCGTCGCCGTCGGCGGTTGCCACCAACATCATGCTCGCAATCTTCGAGAAGAAGACAACTTCCATCGACCTTTACCGCCCTCTTCGCAACTACGTCGCCTTCACATACTCCGAGCGCGAAGCAATCAACCTCGAAGACGACCTCAACAGTCTCAAGCAACTCCGCTCTGACATAGAGCGCGTCCCCGATCCCTTTCCCACCGTCCGCCGTGACCTATTTATCTCCTATTTCAAAGCCCTTTGCCTCGTTGAAACTCGCTTCCCTATCTCCCCGAACGAAGACCACATCAATACACTTCAGTTCACGTGGTTCGATGCTTTCAAGCAGAAACATAAAGCGGTTCAGCATAACATACATTTGGAGAAAGCAGCTGTTCTTTTTAATCTTGGAGCTGTGTACAGTCAGATTGGGCTGTCGTATGATAGGGCCACGGTGGACGGAAGGCGGCAGGCTTCCCACGCGTTCATTGCGGCAGCTGGATCGTTCGCGTTTTTGCGGGATAATGCGTCCACCAAGGCATCTATGGGGAGTAGTGCAACAGTCGATTTGTCTGTAGAGTGTGCGGGGATGTTGGAGAGGTTGATGCTAGCGCAGGCTCAGGAGTGTGTCTTTGAGAATACTATCGCTAAAGGAAGCACTCCAGGAGTTTGTGCCAAGATTTCTAGGCAGGTGGGTTCTATTTTTTCTATTGTTGTCTTGTTGATTTTATTTTTTCTGGATACCTGTTAATGAATTACTTAAAAGTTGAATTAGATTTAAAAGGAATGGATAGCCAATCTTCTGGGATTAGTGAGTGGCAGATGATACCATTTGCAGTCAATTGTAAAATTAAAAATAAAAATAAAAACCTTTAATGAATAGGGATTTAATCTTAAAGGGTGGATAGAATTATGTTTTAGAAATGTGGAGTTGCCTGGCGCAGCATTACTGTTTTGATCATGGGATTAAGAATTTGTTTCATTCCCAAAGCCACATTTTTCTGGCGTTGATTTCAGGTTTGTGCAGATTGACATGAGTTTAATTGTAGGTTGGACTTTACTACGAGGAAGCTTTGGCTGCATTGGTTGTTGCACCCTTGAAGGATCATTTTGACAAAGCCTGGATCTCACATGTGCAGCTTAAGGCAGCTCTGTTCTATGCAGAGGCTTGCTATAGGTGTGGTATGGAGCTTCATGAGAAAGAAGAGATTGCAGAAGAAATAGCACGCCTGAGGAGTGGGGTTAATGCTTTAGCTGAGGTGAAAAAGTCATCATCAAAGGGGGCTGCTGCTCAGCTCCTGGATGCAATTAATAAGTTAGAAGTCAATCTTAATCGTAACCTTGAGAGGGCTGTGAAAGAAAATGATAGAGTTTACCTCATGAGGGTCCCTCCTCCTAGTTCCTTGTCACCTCTCCCAGCATTTTCAATGGTAAAGCCTATGCAGATGAATGAAGTTTTGGATGCTAGCAAGGAGAAGATGTTTGCAAGTCTTGTTCCTGACAGCAGTGCAAAGGCCCTTTCCAGGTACACTGAAATGGTTGATGATGTCATCAGGACACAAGCAGAGAAATTGCAGCAAGGAAGTGAGGTAACCAGAGTGAGGCTCAAGGAAATGGACCTTCCAGATTCTATTCTTGCCTTGGAGGGACATTTCACCCTCCCTGCAGATCTTAAAGAAGATGTGGAAGCTGTGCAAATTAGTGGAGGCCCTGCCGGTTTGGAAGCTGAGTTACAGCAGCTTAGGGATCTCAGAAGGGTGAACAATGAATTGCTTGTCCAGACCGAGGAGCTTTTGCAAAAAGAAGCTACAGAAGATGCTCAGTTTAGAAGTCAGTTTGGAACACGGTGGACTAGACCTCAGTCCAGCACTCTGACAAAGAATTTGCAGGATAGGTTGAATCGTTTTGCAGCTAACTTAAAGCAAGCTGCAGATAGTGATGCCTGCATTGAGCGTTCGGTGAGGGATCATTCTGCTCTGATGTCAATCCTAGACCATCGTCCGGTACATATTTTAAACTAATTGTTATTTTTATCTGTTAGGTATGGTAGTTGCGTTCTTATCTGGTCTTTGCAGGATGCATTTTTTGTCTGAGGTGAATAAGTGTTGGAGCTTTTAGCTAAGTGTTTCTTTTAAGAAAGTATTTTACCTCTTTTTTTAATGGTAAAAAGGAGCAATTCCTTGATATGATGCTGCTCTTAGTTATTTTCATTTCCAGTTAATTTTTTTCTGCTTGTGGAATGAATATGACATCTTCTATACATTTGCCTTCTCCTCAGATTGAATCGGCACTTCCCACTCTGTCTAGGCCAATAATTTCATTGGATGCCAATGAAGATGCTATAGTAGGGGCCGTCAAACAAAGCTTGGTATGTTTCTTTTCCCGCACAAAATTGATAGGATTTTTACTGATTCACTTCTCTCCCCAATTCCAAACCAGACCCATTCCTCCTGAAAACAAAAAGGGAAAAAGAAAAGACATGCATACTCATGCAAATGAATTAAAACTAAAAACAAGAACAAAGAACCTTAATTTTTTCAGAGGCTCCTTGGTAAAAAGGAGAACAGAGAACCTTAATTTTGTCAGGGGGTCCTTTTATAGCCATACAACACTTTCACACCCTTCTTTTCATCTGCTTACATGTGGTTTCCAGTTTTATCATCACAACTGAACTTTAGTACATGGGTGGAAGACATTTTTCCTGAGTTTTTGCCCTGTTTTCTGTGCAGAGGCAATTGGAGATTCTTGGTGCTCAGAGGGCAGGTCTTGAAGACATGCTTAAAGAGATGAAAAGAAAGGTACTATTAACATTTTAATGCTACTATTGCAAGATCTCTTCTACTTTGGTCTGCCTTTGCTGTATGCATGGCCATTATGCATACAGGTGTGCTTGTTATGATCTCAATAATAGATTCATTGTTTTGTTTTCACTCTTGTTTGCTCTTGAATCATAATATTCTTTTTGTGACCAATTTGTGTTCAAAAGATTAAAAATTATGATTGATAGATACTATGATTCTGAAAATGACCATCAACGTTTTTTGACAGTGGGTATTTGCTTCTTGTAAACTAAGGCTTCGTTTAATATGGTTGTGCTTTTTGGTTTGGTTTTCCAAATTCAAACAATCAAAATTAAAAATTAAAAACTAAAATTAAAAACTAAAATTAAAAATTAAAAATTAAAAACTAAAATTAAAAATTAAAATTGCCAACTTATTGTGTATAAAATTTTAAAATGAATACCCAAAGCTCTAAACTTAATTAATTTATAAAAATTCATGGTTTTATCCCAGGGTTTCTAAATTTTTGAAAACCAAAACCAAAAACTTAAAACCACAATCATGCTAAACAGAGCCTAAGCAATGTGGTCATTTCTGTTCTACATTTCAGACCTTGGATTAACATGGATAATATTCTCTTTCATGGTTTCTAAATTTTATTCTTCTATTCCTCTAATCAGTATTATCACTAGTTCACTACAGCTGTATTAGCATATACCAGAAAGTTGACCAGGGATTTGCTGTATATGTGACTTCAGGATGACATACTACCAAAGCTGATGACGTCCACTGGCTCCTATGAGGATCTTTTCAGGAAGGAGATAGCAAAATATGATCGCATTTGTGAGGACATTGCCCAAAATATTGAGGCACAGGAACAATTATTGTTGCAGATTCAGGTCTAATAATTTCTTCTTTCTCCTTTCTTGTCCTGTTCTTCAAAATTGGTTCACTCTTCTATTCAGTTCCAAAAATTCACCTCTGCATGTCATTACACTGCATCATGCCTCTAGCAGCAAATGTAAGAGCTTGTATTTCTTGAATGTTACTTCTATGATAATGTCTTTTTGAATATTTGGGGATGGATGTACCCAAAAAATAATATATATTAGGCGACATACATGAATGCACGAGTGCTCTCCTAAATTTATGTTTTTTCACCAATGGTACTGTTTCTACGTGACAAAATTCTAGGGACATTACTTGAGAACGGATTGTATCCTGAATGACAACTGTCCCTTTTTACAGGCTCAAAATGGAGAGTTCTCTGCAATCTTTAATCTTGAAGATTACAAAGGTAAATAAACTTGTCATCTTGGTATCATGAGTCAATTTTCTTGTATATGAATGTTCACAACAAAGGCCATAAAAATGTCTAAAATCATGCTATATGAATGTTTACAGCAACTGCCATAAAAATGTCTACAATCATGCATCAGATGATGTATTATTCCCATGCTGCTTGTTTGGAGTGTGTTAGTAGTAGGGTGTAGTTTGGCCAAAATTCAGTTTCTGAGCTCATCAACATTTTCTTCTTTTCTTTTTCTCTCTCTTTATTTCAATTCATATTTGTTACAGCATCTCGGGAGAAGTGTTTCAAGCAAATTCAAGCTGCCATAGCAAAGTACAGAGAAATCAAGGGTAACATTAATGAGGGACTGAAGTTTTACATTACACTTCAGGTAATAAGTTGCCTATATGTTGTTTGAGGCAGTATTTTAGTTTATCTTGCCCACTCTTCCTCTGTTGATGCCACTGCTTTACCTTGGGAGAATGTGTATGATTATAAAATTTCTCATCTTAAAACAGGATGCAATCACAAATGTCAAGCAGCAATGCAGTGATTTTATAATGACTCGAAACATCCAGTGCAGAGAAATGATTGAAGATGTACAGAGACAAATGGCAGGTCTTAGTTTCCAGGATCGTAAGAACACAGGTCCTTACCCTCCAGTCGGACAGCCTCATCATGCTCCAAGATCCCAACCACAGCCACAAACAGAACCTCAAAATGCACCCTATCCTCATTCACAAACCCCCTATTATAGGCCTCCAGAGCAGCCAATGCCTGGCTATGGTCACCCTCCTCCATATGGTGCACCGCAACAACCACCACCATACCATGTGCCCCCTGTGACTAGTGCTCCTTATGCTCCTTCACCAGTCCAACAACAGCCACTAGCAAGCCATGAGTATGGACAACCTGCTTATCCTGGGTGGCATGGCCCATATTACAATGCCCCTGGACAGCAACCTGGATCCTTTCCTCGACCTCCTTATAGCATTCCATCTCCATATCCTCCTCACCAAAGTGGTTACTATAAGCAATGATTGTGTAGTTATTACATTTTGGGCATATAAAAATATTGCTTGTGATAGCCTTTTTTTCTTTCTTTTCCTCTCTATGTGAATTGCAGTATTTTAAGGATTTTTGTATTTATAGCTTAGCGGTACATGGCTGTTGACATTTGTGCAATAGGTACCTATTCTATTGAAAGATTTTTTGTTCATTTACCTAATGATCAAACACCTGGTAGGGGCATCTCCACCCTTCATTGGATGTGATTTGGGATTTCGGGCTTCGTTGTCTTTGCCTTCTCTTTGCCTAGGGGCATGTGTGGGTTGAGAGAAATTGAGGATAGGGAAATGACGTGGTGCAGGATTCAATAATTGAAAAGCTGAGGCGGCTTAATTGAAGGTATTAATGCTGCACAAACATTAAAAAAAAACAAAAGGTCAAAATTTGGGTGATATGAAATGAATTGATGCGTATGAATCCACTTGTCTTTGTAAAGTTTAGAATGAGAAAATGTTAATTAGTCCTAAGCCACGGCATGCCTTTTGTTAACTCCGATATCAGTCAGCTGATCTTAGTAAATTTAGATTGGCTTTCGGAAGAATTAATGGAAATATTGCAGTCAACTGGGTATGCCACCGTCGCAGCCATTGTTGCATCAGCATACTTTGCATGTGAGATGGTTATCTGCCTGGATTTTGCTTTCCGCAATGGTATAGTTTCAATATCATATATGATTATAGACTTATAATTATAATATGATATTAAATGAGTGATATTATAAGTAGACTTTTAAATAAAAAAAGTTAATTATATAACAGTATATTATGTTGTAATTTTATAATACTACGTAATATTATAATACTACATATAATATTATAATTATGCACTCTAGGCTCAAGTATGCACTCTAGGCTCAAAGTATGTACAGTTTCTTGAAGGATCGAAAATTATGGTGGTATATTATTGGTGACGTTACACTTTCATAGAAAGTTACTGATGAGACAGATAAGAAGTATGTTGACCGTCTCGAGGATTGGGATAGCAAAAATCATCAAATCATCTCTTGGTTTCGTAACACCTCAATTCCTTCCATTCACCTTCAGTTTGGACGGTATGAAACAGTTAAGGAAGTGTGGGATTTGCTTGCAGCAAGGTATACCACTTCTGATTTATCTAGTCAATATCAATTATAGGAAAAGTTACACAATTTGAAACAAGAACGTGAAGAGTTCATTACTAGTTTTTACGCTAAGATGGAGGCTATTTGGGATCAGCTTGCTCTCTCGAACCAACTTTCAATGACACTGCTGATATTGGGAAGTACATTGAGTATCGTAATAAAATGAGGTTAATTCAATTTCTTATGGCACTTACTAATGATTTTGAACCATGTAGAGCCTTTTTATTGCATCAGTCACATTTGCCTACCTTGGATAGTGCTCCCTCACGATATTATCTGATGAAACTCGTCTAGGCTTACTTAAGCCTCAATGAGATAATATTGTGGCTACAGCTATTAACAAGTTTCCTTCGAGGAAGAGAGGATAGAAGCATTGTCGTCATTGTAACAAATACGGACATACTATATATGAATGCAATCTGGTAGAATGTCATAAATGCAAGCAGAAAGGTCATATTGCTCCTAATTGTACTACTCCACTACCTCAGAGATCTGATCAATGGAAGACCCAATCAAAGCCTGATCAGTCTTCTAAGCCTGTGGTTGCTACAACTGCTGCCAATGAGGATACCTCAGTCCATCGTTCGATTGGTAATCTAGAAACCCTTCTTAGATAGATGATATCATCTTCCTCTACATCTACTGCCTTGCCTACCATCCTAGGTAAAGTTTCTTGGATTTTTAACTCTGGTTGTTGCAATCATATGACTTCAAACTCTAAACTTTTTTCTACATTAACCCCTAGTACCACCACACCTCCACTCCATACAGCTGATGGTTCACAAATGCAAGTTAGTGAATATGGTCAAGTTTCTACTTCTGCCCTTACCTTACCAAACACTTTCCTAATACCAAAACTTACTTTCAATCTTATTTCCGTGGGACAACTATGTGAACTTGGTCTTGAACTAATATTTTTTACTCATGGTTATCGTGTGCAAGATCCACAGATGGGACAAATTCTTAGGACAGGCCGTAAAGTTGGATGTTTGTTTGAGCTCACCTCCTTGCACATCCCTTCTAGTTACATTTCCTAGTTGTGCAATCTCAACATCTTCCTCTTTGCACTTGTGGCATCTTCGTCTTGGTCATGCCTCTATTAGTAAACTTCGTCCTTTAATTCAAAATGGGTCTTTAGGTTCTGTTAAAAAAGAGTCTTTACATTGTGTCTCGTGTCAAATTGCTAAATAGCCTACTTTATCTTTTAATAAAAGTGATTCCATTTCACTTGCATCTTTTGATTTAGTACATTCTGATATATGTGGGCTATCTCCCACTCCCATCATGGGTGGTTCAAAATATTTTGTGTTATTTATTGATGATTATTCTCGCTTCACTTAGCTATATTTGATGAAGAAACGCTTAGAATTACCTCAAATTTATTTTGAGTTTGCTAATATGATAAAGACTCAATTTTCTAAAACTATCAAAGTCTTGAGAATTGATAATGCTCTTGAGTATCTCGATTCTAAATTTTAGTCTTTTCTTAAAGAGCAAGGCACAATACAACAAAGATCTTATCCATATACCTCTCAACAAAATGGGCGGGTTGAGCATAAACATCGTCATATTTTGGACTTAGTTCGTGTTCTCCTAATTTCCTCCTCATGTCCTAAGTGTTTTTAGCGTGAAGCTGCACTTACAACAGTCTATGTCATAAATCGAGTCCCATCTACCATCACACAAAATAAATCTCCCTATGAGTGTCTTTACAGTATTCTTCCTGCCTATGATCTTCTTAAAATTTTTGGTTGTGCTTGTTTTGTTCTTTTACCTTGTCATGAACATCACAAGTTAGAGCCGCGAGCTCGACTTTGTTGTTTTCTAGGGTATGGGATACAACATAAAGGTTATCATTGTTGGGATCTAATGTCACAAAAACTCTGTGTCTCTTGTCATGTTGTTTTTTTGGGAACACACTATGTTTACTTCTTTTTTTGAATTCAAAGTGTCTCCTTCTCATCAAACTCCCATCTTCACTAATCCACCCTTTGAGTTTTTTCCTAGTGATGATGTAGGGTCTACTGATGAGCTTTCAAATGATCAAACTACCACGGCTCCTGTTTTAGAAGATGTCTCCTCTGCGGATGTTGCACCTGGAACAAATGAGATTGAAAATCCACTAGATACTTCCTCTTCTAGCCATCCTACTCGAGTAAGAAATCCACCTATACGTCTTCAAGATTACTATTGTTTTTCTACACTTACCTCTTTACATGAACCTCAGTGCTATAAGGAAGCTTCTTTAGATCCTCAATGGCAACAAGCTATGAAAGAGGAATTACAAGCTTTGAAAAAGACATGTACTTGGGATTTGGTTAATCTTCTTACTGATAAGACTCTTGTTGGATGCAAGTGGGTATATAAGATTAAAACTTGTTCTGATGGATCAGTGAAGCGCTATAAGGCACGTCTGGTGGCAAAGGGTTTTACACAGGAATATGGCGTTGATTATAAGGAGACCTTTACTCCTATTGCTTGTCTTACCACAGTACGTAGTTTACTAGCTATTGTTGTTGTATGTAAATTGAAGTTGTTTCAGATGGATGTGAAGAATGCCTTTTTCAATGGTGATTTGGAAGAGGAGGTTTATATGGAACCGCCTCTTAGACTTACTCATCCTCCGAATAAGGTATGTCGATTACGATTAGCCTTATATGGTTTAAAGCAGTCTCCTCGAGCTTGGTTTGCAAAATTCAGTTCTACTATAACTGAGTTTGGTTTCACATCTAATCCACATGATACTGCTTTATTCGTCCATAAATCTGCTCAGGGAATGGTTCTCTTACTTATATATGTTGATGATATGATTATCACTGGAGATGATGTTTTAGGGATTGATGAGCTTAAGTAGTTTCTCAACCACAGATTTGAGATGAAAGACCTTGGCTCTTTGAGTCATTTTTAGGACTTGAAGTTACATCCTCAGATGATGGCTATCTTCTCTCTCAAGTGAAATGTGCATCAGATCTCATATCTAAAGCTGGTATCATTGATGGCAAGATTGTCTCCACACCTCTTGAATCAAACGTCAAGCTCACATCGTTAGATGGCTCTCCACTTCTTGACCCCACTTATTATTGACAATTGGGTAGGAGTTTGGTTTATCTTACTACGACACGCCTAGATATAGCATATATAGTTCATATTGTTAGTCAGTTTATGGCTGCTCCCCGTTCCACTCATTATGCTGCTGTACTTCGTATTATTCGCTATGAGAAAGGAACACTATTTCATGGACTTCACTTCTCAGCTCATTCCTCTCTTGTACTTCGTGTATATTCAGATGTTGATTGGCTTGGTGATCTTATAGATTGAAGATCCACTACTGGCTATTGTCTTTTTCTTGGTAACTATCTTATTTCATGACATAGTAAAAAATAAGCTATTCCATCTCACTCTAGTACTGAGGTTGAATACAGAACTTTGGGTGATACCACTTTAGAA